CAGTTTCATGACTGAGGTGTGCCTAACTAAAGGTATAGTCCTTCTAATCACCTGCTATGCATCTGAGAGCTGGACAATGAATAATGATGACAGACGAATTGATGCCTGTGAATTGTGATGTTATAGAAGAGCACTAAATATCCCATGGACTGTCAAAAGAAGAAACCGATGTGTGTTAGAGAAAATGCAACCAAAATGTTCCTTGAATGCAAAGATGAAGAAGCTTCATTTCACGTATTTTAGACATGTTGTTAGGAGAGACTATATCTTGGAAAGGGACATCATGCTTGTAAAGATAAAAGGTCAGTGAAAGAGAGGAAGACCTTCACCAAGATGACTGATTTAGTGTCAGAGACAATGGGATCAAATGTGTCGAGGGTGATAAGGATGGCATAGAGTAGGACAGAGTTCAGAGTCATTGTTCATAGCGTCACTATGAACTATGTATGTGACTTGATGGCACTTAACAACAGCTGCCCTCTTGCACAAGGGGAACTCTGATGGTTTAGTGGTAAGAAGCTGCACTGCAATCCTAAAGACACATGGTTCAAACCCAGCAGGTGTTCTGCAGGAGAAGGATGGGCAATTTCCTCTTGTGCAATTTACTGCCTCTGAATACCCTCTGGAGGGTCAGCTATGAGTCAGTTCTGACTCAGTGGCACACAACAGAATACAACCTCTTCCATTGCTGGTAATGAACAAAGATCATTTCTATATGTATATGGAGTCTTGACTGTTTATTAAAATGAGACCAAATAATATTTGTTCTTTTGTGACTTATTTAACTCGGTTTAACATCCTTCAGACTCATCCAAATTATGTTTCTCAGATTCTTTGTAATTCATTACAGTTCAGTAATATTCCCATTGTCAGCATGTACCACAACTTGTTTATGTACCTATCAGTTGATGAACACCTAGGCTATTTCAATCTTTCCCCAACCAATACAGATTCCATACATCTACTCACGTCACCGCTCTTACAACTGTAGTTGTTGTTGTTGTTATGTGCCATTAAGTCACCTGTGATCCAGTGACCCTTTGTGCAGCAGCTCTGAACCCTTCCCTGTTCTAAGCCAGTCTCACTAATTCTGACACACCAATCAACCCCCAATGCCCCAGTTACTGTATCAATCCATTTCACTTGGGGTCTTCCTCTCCTGCACTGTCCCTCCACCCTTCCAAGCAAGATGTCCTTCTCCAAGGACCAGTCTCTCCTGGCCATGTGCTCAAAGTATGTGAGATGGAGCTTCATAATCCTAGCCTCCAAGGATAAACTTGGTTTCACACTCACTAAGACATATCAATTTGTTTTCTTGGCAGTCCGTGGTATGTTCAAGACTCTTCTTCAGCACCACAATTTGAAGGCATCAATTCTTACTCTGTCATCCTTAGTTATTGTCCAGCTCTCTGATGAAAAGCAAGTAATTGTGAAGATCATGAACTGGATTAGGTGCTCCTTAGTCTCTAGACAGACATTGTTGCTCTCCAGCACTCTGGAGAGGTCCCTGACAGCAGATTTTCCCAGTGCAATTCGTCTTTTGATTTCCTAACTTTTGGTGTTAAGAGTGTTGATTGTGGAGCAGAGCAAGGTGAAATTATTAACAACCTCAATCTATTCTCCATTCATCATGGTGCTGCCAATTGGCCCAATGGTGAGAATCTTTGTCTTCTTGATGTTGAGCTTCAATTTATATTGTCCTTCTACATTCTATATTGTCCAATCTACAGTCCTTGACCCTCTGCAGCAAGTGCTTCAAGTCTTCTTCAGTTTAAGCAAGATTGTGTCATTCGCATAATGTAAGCTGTTGGTGAGTCTTCCGCCAATTCTGATGCCACATTCCTCATAAAGCCCTGCTTCTTGAATGATCTGTTCTAAATACAGATTGAAAAGGTATAGAGACAGGATGCAACCCTGACACACTCCTTTCCTGATTTGAACCATGCAGTGTTTCCTACTCTGTTCTGAGGACTGCTTCCTGGTCCAAGTTTAGTTTTCACATAAGAACAATCAAGTGTTCTGGGATTCCCATTTTCCTCAAGAACAACACCACCACCATATCAGATCTAGAAGAGACCTATCTGGACCTTGGAAATGATCACAAAGACACTAAGTCACAAAACTTAACAGAAGGTCAGTGGTAAAGGAACTTCCCTTAGTACTGACACAAGCAAAAATCTTTCCCTGAAGTTGGTACATGGGATGTGGACTTACATTCTCCTAAACGTGTATGTGAGACGAAGTTTCAAAATACTAGCCTCCAAGGAGAGACTTGTTTTCACCCTCTCCAAGATAGACCTATTTGTTTTCTTGGCAGTCCATGGTATGTTTAAGCCAGTACCTCAACTTGAAGGCATCTATTCTTCTCCTGTCATCCTTAGCCATTGTCCAGCTCTCTGAAGCATAACAAGTAACTGAGAAGACTATGGCCTGGATTAGGTGCACCTTAGTCTCTAGACTGGTGTCGTTGCTCTTCAGTGCTCTAGAGAGGTCCCTGAGAGCAGATTTTCCCAGTGCAATTTGTCTTTTGATTTCCTGAGTGCTGTTGTTAAGAGTGTTGACTGTGGAGCAGAGCAAGCTGAAATTGTTAACAACCTCAAACTATTCTCCATCTATCATGGTGCTGCCCATTGGCTCAATGGTGAGAATCTTTGTCTTCTTGATGTAGAGCTTCTATCCATATTGAAGACTACAGTCCTTGACCTTCTGTACCAAGAACTTCAAGTCTTCAGTTTCAGCAAGTGTTTCAAAATTAGAGCAATTTATTCACATCACTATATGACCACCTTCACAAGCACACAATGTTGCTTGCTGTCAAGCTGAGCACAACTTATAGCGATCCTATGAACAAAAGACCTGAAGACTTTCTATAACTATTATCAAAGCACTTAATAGCCTGATAGTATATGAAATATGGTACAAAGGACCTCATCATAGAAAACTAAAGAACAAAAATAACAACTATGTTTGTTACTTATGGCTATTAGAAGCCAAAACATGGGTTCAGATAACCCAAAATAATTTTTGGAGTAAACACTGGCTTAAAATGTCACCAAAGAAACAGAAAACACTCAACTGTAGTACTGGAAATCTCCTAAACCAGACGGTCTTAAGTCAGCATGGGCTGCTCCCCATAAGTACTTTAGGGTTCCATATATGTTTTAATTTGCATTTCATTTTCAAAACATTTTTTATGTTTAAAAAGCTGAAATGAAAAATAGCATGCACATCAACATGTGTTTTAAACCAAACATATCAGTTATGTTATAACAGCTTCCAGGCCACCTTGATTTTATGCAGACCTTGGAATAAAGTTTCCCTTGCCAGTTCTTTCCATGTGTTTGAACTTCTTGTAAACATATCACTGGTTAGGAAGACAGCAGTACTCCAGTGAGTTAGGCAGAAAAAACAAACAAACACACACCAAACAAACCAAAAAAACAACAAACCCACAACACAAAAACCAGGCTTGCAAATGTCTGCTCAAGTAAAATTACACTTGGAACAGAGGCTATCTGTGGAAAACGGAATTTTTACAATACTATGCAATCAAAATAAAACACGGAATAAATAAGAAGTTTCAGCTATTTTATAAAGGCATTCACAAACTACTGTTCAATTCAACAGCCTTTCTTTATGTTCTTAATTTAGAAAAAAAATATAGATTTAGTAAAATAAATATATACTAATATAATAGCACTTTATCTGTGATTTTGTTTTTAACCTATGGAGAACTAAGTTTAACTATTAAAAAAGAAAAGTGAAAGTCAGCAGAGCCAGGTAATATAGTCATAGGGCTGAATTGTTTTCTCCATAGCAACAATTCTCATTTTCTCTTTCTTTTTGCTGCTGAGCCAGAACTGACTTCCAGTGAGTTTTTAGAAGCTATATTCATGGGGGAGGAGACTGCCTATCTTTCTTCCAGAGCAGCTGGTGGATTTGAACCACATGCCTTTAGGTTAGCAGCACACCTCCTTATCCACTAGGACAACATAGCTCCCGAGCAACAATCAGTAAGGTCAAATAACTCTAAAATCTCTTATGGCCAGCATTTTTACAATGCTACAAAATTTTAACAGCCTTTCATATTGCAGTCATACAAACTCTTGATAATTTGTTAATCTGGAACCGACCCATAGTTAACCCTCCAGTGGGTTTTCAGAGGCATTACATCACACGTAAGGATAATGACTATCCTCCCAGGAGGAGCTGCTGGATTTGAACTGTGTGCCTTTGGGATTGCAGCACAGCTTCTTGCCACTAGGGCAACCAGAACTCCATTTAGATTTCAAAATTGAGAAAAAGAAATGTCTTTGGTTAATTTATTTCTATTGCATTTTCAGTTAATATTCCAATGATAACTCTATACTAGTAGGACTTTTAGATATTCTATTCCAAGTTGGCATTATAAAAAAGTTCTATTTAATTTAAATTATGTTTGTCATGTTTATTAAAATACGTTTGTCACATTTATTAAAATATTTTTCATATTTATTAAGACACAAATCAGAAAAATGTTCTGGAAGGTTTAAAAGGAAAATTAAAATTAAAATATAATTAATATCAATGTAAAATACACATAAGATAATAACCCCCAAAGAGTCTAAGGCATTCTTCCTCAAACTCCTCCATGGAAATAACCCAGAATTGCACTATAACCGTGAACTTTTGTATTATGATAATGAAAATTTAAACAAATTAAATTGCAGACATCATAAACTTTATGGTATATTCTTTGAAAAACCCTTATGAATTTTGTATTTTACTTCATAATAATTTTTTCTGTTTTAAAAATGCTTTCCCTTTACATATCTCTGAGTAAAATCAAAACCCCAGAAAGATTTCTTTCCATCTCAATGTCTAAACAGCGATCAGACATAATCCAGTTGCAGCATGCACTAGTTTGATACATGCTAATGTAGTTCCACTTGCATTAATTGAAACACAAATCTTTCTGCTCTATTCAAGGGCTGAATTTATTGTTTGTATTTATTACTTACATTTTCATGTTTCATATGCTTAAGTAACCGGAGCTCTCTGTAGGTCCGTTTGGCATGAATGATGGACTGAAATGGCCTGGAGAGCTTCTTTACTGCCACACGTAACCCGGTTTTTGTGTCAAAAGCAGCACTAAATGAAAACAGAAAAGTCACCATTAAAAATACTCTGTGTTTTTAGACATTTACAAAGCGATTTCATTTTCTAATTAGTCTACAACAAAGTGCATTCAATATGATTGTATTCAACATCAAGGAGACCAAAATCCTCACCTCTGGACTGATAAGCAAAATTATGATAGATGGAGAAAGAACTGCAATTATTAATGATTTCATCTTACATGGATCCACAAATCCAAAAAAACCCCCCCAAAAAAAAACAAAAAAAAAATAACAAACCCATGGTACCAGCAGTTAAGAGATCAGGAGATGCCTTACATTGGGCAAGTGTGTTGTCAGAGACATCTCCAAAATACAGAGAAGCAATGGCATTATTGATTCGGACCATGGTCTTTTCAATTATTTGTTATGCCTCTGAAAGCTGGACAATAAATAAAAATGACAGAACAGATGTCTTTGAACTGCGGTGTTGGAGTACTGAATATCCCATGGACTGCCAAAAACAAACAAACACATATGTCTTGGAAAAAGAACAGCCAGACTGTTTCTTGGAAGCAAGAATGGTGAAGCTTTGTCTCATTGCTAGGAGAGGCAATTCCTCAGAAAGGGACATCATGCTTGGAAAGGTGGAGGGGAAAAGAGAGGAAGAAAAAGAGAGGAGGATTCTCAGTTAGATGGCTTGACACAGTCGACTCAAATGTTTCAGAGATGATGAGAATGGCACAGATAGGGCAGAATTCAGATCTGTTGTACACAGGGTCGCTATGAGTCTTAATCAACTTGACAGCATATAACAACAAGAAAGTACAAAGATAAAACAAAAATAACTTATAATCTTACTCTTGTTATTCTTTTCATTGTTCCCACCCCCTGTCTTATTTGTCTGCACTTAGATCAAGTGGTTACACATTTTTCCATATAGAGCCAGATAGTTTTATGAGAAACTTATACCTGGACCAAAAAGCTGCTGTCTGAATAGAGCAAAAGAATACTGCATGGTTTAAAATAAAGAAACGTGTGCACCAGGGCTATATCCTTTTTCTGTACCTATGGAATCTGTATGTTGAGCAAATCATTCGAGAAGCTATACTTTACAAAGAAGAAAATGGCATCAGGATTAGAGGAAGACTCATCAACAACCCACATTATGTCGATGACACAATCTTGCTTGCTGAAAAGAAGGAGGAACTGAAATACTTGGTGCAGAAGGTCCAGCCTTCAGTATGAATTACATCTCAATATCAAGAAAACAAAAATCCTCACCATTAGATCAATAGGCAGCATTATGATAGATGAAGAAAAGATTGAAATTGCCAATGACTGAATCTTCCTTGCATCCATAATCAATATCCTTGGCACCCGCAGTCAAGAAATCAAGAGATAACTTGCACTGGGAAAATGTGCTGTCAAGGCTTGGCACTCTTCAGAGTGCTAAAGAGCAATGATGCCAGTTTTAAGGCTAACGTGCATCTGATTCAAGCCATGGTCTTTTCAATTACTTGCTATGTATCTGAACATTGAATGACTACAGGATGACAGAAGAACAGATGCCTATGAATTGTGGTGTTGAAGAAGAGTACTGGATATCTTATGGACTGTCAAAAAGGCAAATAAATGTGTCTTAGAGAAAGAACAACCAGGGTGTTTCTTGGAGGCAACGATGATGAAACTTCAACTCATATACTTTGGGCATATTGTTAAGAGAAACCAGTCCTTGGGTGAAAAAAAAAAAAAGGTTCAACAAGATTGACTGACACAGTGACTGTATCAATGGGTTCAACTTTATCAGAAATAATGAGGATGGCACAAGATTAGGCTAAGGTTCTGTTGTTCACAAGGTTGCTTTGAACTACAGTCAACTGGATGACACCTAAGAAAAACAACCCAACTCTATGGTGGAGCCAGAAAGCAGTTATAGATAACTAACCTTAGAAGTGTAGATACCTTCTGATAAAAATTTACAAAAACCAAGCAGCTGCCTGATCCAGATAAGACAACAGACTGAGCATTATCAGTTGAGATCACACCGTAAGGTTGATTGTTGTCTATCTTCTCTGCCTAGGCTGCACTGTGCTACCACAGTTAACATACTTTCACAGTAATAAACTGCCACAAATATTTCTCGAGCACTTATACCATATTTGACACTTTTTAAAGGGCTGAGATATAGTAGAGAACAACTAACAAATCCCTACTCTCAAAGAGTTTATCATCTAGTTGGATAAGGTGGGAAGCAGAATAATAAAATCATTTCAAATAGTAGTTAAGTACACTGGTGGCCCAGTCTTTAGGGAGCCGCACTGCGAACCCAAAGTCCATTCTTCTCCATGGGAGGAAGATGGGCAATCTCCTACTTCCTGATCTACCGCTTCTGAGACCCACTAGAGAGTCAGCTGTGAGTTGATTCTGATTCTATGGCGATGACTGACTTTTGACCAGGACTAACGAAAGCACAGTCATGAAATAGAGTGACAGAAAGCAAAGTTTTATATTCCTTTGGATGAGGTGTCTGAGAAAATAACATGTGAGATGAGAACGGAATAAAAAGTAACAATCATATGAAGATATAGGAGAAAGAAGCTTTCCCCAGAAGAAAGAGTAATTTAATGGATGTTTATCACATACTCAATTCATTGCTGTGGAGGTGAAGCCAATTCAAAGCTGACACTCAAACCAGTTTGAGGCTTGAATAAGTCATACGAGAGGAAGAAGACTGTCCATCTTTCCCTATTGTGGATTTGAACCACTAGAGAGGTGTCATGTTGCTTTTGGTTAGCAGTGCAGCTCTCAATGGGCTACTACTGTTGTTGCTGTTACGTGCCATGAAGCCAACCAATAGCTGACCCACCAGTGGGTTTTCAGAGTAAGTAAATGTCATGGGAAGAAACTGTCCATCTTTCTCTTCTGCAACAGCAAGTGGATTCAAACTGCATGCCTTTGGGTTGGCTTTGCAGTTCCTTTCCATTATGCAACCAGAGCAAATGCTAGCATTGTATAATAGCTTTAACCACAGCAGAGATTGTGAGGATGGCGTAAAACTAGGCAGGTCATCATTTCATTGAACACAGACAGGGTCGCTATGAGCAGGAGCAGAGCTGGAAGTGACTGATGGCCTCTAGTAACGGGCATTGTGTGTAGTGTAGTGGTTAAAGCATTTGGCTGTTAGGAAGAGGTTGGCAGTTTGAGGCCACCAGTTAGTTGTTCTATAGAAGAAAGATGTGGCAATCTGCTTTCACAAAGATTTATGGCCGCAGAAATTCTGTGGGGCAGTTCAATGAGATCATACAAGTTGGAATCGATTGGGCAGCAATGGTTTAGAGACTTGTCTAAGTCTTTCACAGCACCTTTTTTATTACCTCTTTTAATCACCCTAACATGCCTATAAAATAAGTCCCTTTTTATTTTCTCTTTTTACAAAAAAGGAACTGAAAGCACTAAAACCAGGCCAACTCCACAGCTGTCAAGTGGATTCTAACTCACAGTAACCCTATAGGACAGAGCAGAACTGCCCAGTAAGGATTGTGAGGCTGTAAATCTTTATTAGAAGCACACCGCCACATTTTTCTTCCAGACAGAGCAGCTGGTTGATTTGAAACTGTTGACTTTTTGATTAGCAGCCAAATGTTTTTAACCACTGCACCACCACAGCTCCAGGTGAGTCAGAATTAGCCTGATGGTAACAGGTTTGTCTACTTTTTAAAATTTCGTCTCTTTTCTCCTCCCATATTATTACCAAACTCCTTCTCAGAACCCTTCTTCATCTCTCTGGTTCAGGCAGTAAGTACAACATTGAAGATGTTTCTCCTATAGCCCCACAATCAGAGACCTGCCTTTTCATATCTTATGATTATCAAGTGGGACAGTCAACCACTGCCAGTTCCAGGTCATCATCCTCTCCTCTTTGTTTCACAAAGCCCCTGACCAGAAGCAGCATAAAAACCAGTCATTCCTTTCTGTTGTTATTCTCCAGTGACATCTGGGATACTTCCATCATTCACTGAAAAGTTAATGTCTATATCAAAGTCTCTCTCTGCTTCTAACTCGATGTCATCATTCTTGGCAACCTAAACACCCAGGTGGAGGGCACATCTCACTAACATCCTGCCCTTGCAAGTTTCCAGACCTCTCCAGGAAACTCCACCTCATCTAGTCACTCCCGTAGTTACATCCTAGACCTGTCACCATGAAAACTCGCCCCACCTACAAAACTCTGAATGCTAACACTTGCTTTCCTTTACAAACTCCTACATTTTCTGGGTTCCTTGCTCATCTACCCAGATTACAATTCTTTGACCTCATTACCATGACTTGCTTCTATCCATCAGTCCTCTCCTGTCTTCATTTCCCTTCTTGCTTAGTTTAAAGAGCATGTGCCAACCCTTATAATCCTCCTCTCTCTTGCACCTCTCTGCCTCTTATTTACTCACCTGGCTAACCTTGAGTGATCTCAACTACTCACCTTTTCCAGGCCTATTTTCAAGGCTAAGGAAAAGAATATAGAATCAAACAGATTGGTTTTCCTTTCTTGCATGATCAGTTTATCAACAGGAGCATTTTTATCAACATAAATGTCACTGTTATTTCCTAATCCTCAATGAACAAACAAAAAACACTTCCCTCTAAGGCTTCCTGTTACAGTTAAAGTTCTTCAAGAAATTACCTAAACCAGTGATTCTCAACGTGTGATTCCAGATCAGCAGCTTCAGTATCACTTGGGGTCTTAGGAGAAATGCAAATTCTCAGGTCCCTCTCCAGACTTATTGAATCAAATTCTGATATGGGTCCAGAAACCTCTATTTCACCAAGTCAACCAGGTAATTCTAACACACAGTAAAGGTGTTTTTATTTTCTTTTTATCTTTATTGAGATTTTATTGTAAGTTTATAAAGAACTTGGATTTCCATTCATTCATTGTTGCACATTTTCCTCTCTGCCCCAACCCCCTCAAGTTAGCTTTTCTCTTTGGGAAAAAGTTCTTTCATTGTTATACAGTTTCCCCACCCCAGACCACTT